AGCTTTAGAATGACACTGAACATACTCGCTAGTTCTTTCGTGAGGAGATTGATGTGGAAGAGATTCAAGGCCCTGGAGTCTCTGGAGCCTCCGTCTATTTGTTCTGCTGCAGACTCGAGGGCTTCAGCCTCTGCTTCTGCTGCTGCAATCTCTTTGTCTAGCTTTAGCGTAGCAAGAGCTGCATCCAGCCGAGCCTTTTCCATTAAAAGCTCATTTTCTTTCTGAACGAAAGCTGCACAGGCTCGTGCAGCTAGAACTTTAGCTCATGCTTTAGCTGCAGCTAAGCTAGCTGATGATGTTTTGGAACTTGAGCTGGAGCTATTGGCTACAGACCTGATAAGAAGGCCCCTGTCGGATGATGGACCCGCCTGTTGGTCTTCTGCTAATTGCTAACGTTATATTATCGTTTTATCCCGGAGGGGAAAACTAGTTTCTAATCCTGAGAGAAACACCTCGCCTGAAACACACGATTAGTGCCATGAGTTAGTGAAGCAAATTACAGAACATTGCACACTTATTCACAAGTCAAAACGTGTTCATAGCGGTTACGGCTGAGAATAGCTAGCTAGATGTTGTTAGCCAGCTTGGACCTATGATACCAAGTTCTAGCATGGCTAGCTCGATCAACTGAGCAAATAAAAGTACATCTAAGACCAGTATTGTGCAGATTAAAACAGTGCAGTGCATGTATTTTATTTTACCTTCGTAGTCGTCCCGACATGACTTTGCCAGGTCTGATAACTTTGCTGAGCCACGGAAACTGCATTCAGTAGAAGCTTCTGAATGCGGCGCTTCGCGTCCTCCGAGTAAATCGCCAGAAGCGCCGACACATCCTCATCACTCCACCGCTCCGATGATTTATTTAGTGTTGCTATAATAACTGCTTTCACAAAAGTAATCTCTTCGGGTGCGCTGGCCTGAAGCGAGCAAATACAATGGCTGCTTACAAAAAAAAATTCAGAGTCAAACGGGCGTGGTTTGCATTCCGCACAGCCAATCAGACGTACTAACTATTTTCTCCCACGACAGTCCCTGCTCTCTAGCAGGGACTGAAAAGCGGGTCAGACGAACTAATTTGAACTACTTTAGTTCCTGGGGCTTTTTGGTGTGAACGCAAATATATCGTAGTTCTGATGAACTATTGTGGGAAAAGTACTCCAAAGTACTCCGGTGTGAACGCGCCTTATATCTCCTTGTTTTCTCCGTAAAGCTACGTGGTGTGATGTCTGGTTTTGCTTCCCCTGTCGTGAGTTCTGATCGCTCAGTGATGATACTTATATTTCTGGAATCTGTGGAATCTCAGCTTGCTAATCGATATCTTGTTTGTGCAGATCCGATAAGTAATAAAGGTATTTTACCGTGAGCTCTGTGCTGAGTGTGTTAGCATTTTTTCGCTCAGGGCTCATTTAGACGCTTCTTGTGAGACTTGTGTTTTGTTTCGGTAAAAATGGTTCGTATCGTCAGATAGCTGAATTTCTTCCCGTTAAAGGTGGGGTAGGTAATTTTGGAGAAACCAGCTCGAGTGCGCTAGAATTTGAAAATACACAGCCAGAAAAAATCTGCCACTTCCTTACAGAGCCCCTCCTCCAACACACACGAACGCGCACATGACCAATGAGGGCACGAGATAAGTTTGTGCACAGATGGAAGGCTGACAGGCAGGTAGGCCATCCAGTTATTTTAGCCGGGCCGGCTAAAATGATTGGTCGTGCTTTTTACAGTACTACGGCTTCCACAGATGACATTTTTTATGGATTTTTTGTCAAAGCACTTAAGATATTCATTGCTATCGGGATGTTAAGAGCATTCCATGGAATATAACAAAAACTGTATCTGTATTTTAAAACCTGATCGACTCCATCATGGAACCTTTGGACAGAAACGTGCCTTGCCCTGCATTCATGTAGACTGGCCTGCGCTCTCACTTATCAAGATAAAAGTTGAAATAATCGTCTGTTCTTATTTATTCTAGGACCCATATGCCACTTTATATAAATCTCTGAGCATGATGTGGGGTTAAAAAGAAGTAGTTGGACATTTTATGAACTATATCAATATCATGACTATGTGTTTCATTTTCTTGCAAACCAGCCTTTTTTTGACCCCTTGTAATGCATGTGAATAGCACCTCTGTTACCGTCTGTTAACAGCTAATGTAAACTGGCTGTACTCGTTATGATTTCAAGACGGATTTGATTTTTGTTGTTGAGGAAAACACATGGTGTGTCCTGATTTGTACTCAATTTAGTGTTTCGTTTGTATATATACAGGGAACAGCAGAGGTCGAAGTGCAACAGAGGCTCGTGATGCACAGCATGAAGTTAGATAGATAGATAGATAGATTGTACTTTATTGATCCCAAATTGGGAAATTGTTTTTGTTACAGCAGCATAAAAGGCATTTTACAATAAAACAAAATATACAAGAATAGAAATAAAATAAAATAAAATATAAAATATACATGTCAAAATACAAAATAGAAAATATACATACAGATATTATATATATATATACAAATATATATATATTCAAAATATATGGAATTATGGAGTATTAAATATGAAACAGATTATGTGTGAGTAAAATGTACAACGTGGTTTTATTTCTAGAGAAACTATGGAGCAGAGAGTTCTCTTCCAGCCAGAGGTGATTTGTTGTACAGTGTTATTGCAGTGGGCAGGAATGTTTTCCAGTATCTGTCCTTGAGACAGGGGAGCTGCAGCAGTCTGTTGGAGAAGGAGCTCCGTTGACTGTCCAGCTGCAGGTGGACAGGATGGGTGGGGTTATCCATGAGGGACAACAGCCTGTTCAGTGTCCTCCTCTCCACCACAGCTTCAAAGGGGTCCAGCTTGATGCCGATGACTGACCCAGCTTTCCTGATCAGTTTATTGATCCTGCTGGTGTCACCGGCTCTGATGCTGCCCCCCCAGCAGACCGCAGCAAAGAAGAGTGCACTAGCCACAACAGACTGATAGAAGATCTCCAGCATCTTACTGCATACGTTGACCACGAGCCAGATGCAGTTGGAATAACCATAAAGTAATAACCATGTGTCTCCATGTATGTTAATGTATTGTGCTTTTAAACAAACGTGTTACTGTTTTATGAAAACTGTTTTGAAATAATCACATTTTAATCAAATGGATTAACATGTCCATAACGTTCCCTTTTTTAAATCTATTTGTTTAATCTGCAATGTTTCAATGCTATCAAATATGTAAAGGGTTGGATTGAAATCAGGAAGAGTTTGTCGTATATAGGTTCCGGTAACGCAATTGTGTTTTATAATTTACTTTATTTATTCTTGTCTTATGTGGTTCTTAGCAGATTGTTATTTGCAACTCCTCTTTTCACATGCAGAAAAAAATCACATGAGTGAGTTTACCCAACTCCTAAAATTGCTTGGAAACTGTTGACACATTGTTTTTAAGTTTTAGCAAAGTAACACGTTCTAGAAAACTAAAAAAGTAAGTTTCACCAACTCAAACAATGCAAAAGTTGACTAAACTCTTAAAATTGCTTGGAAACTGTTGACACATTATTTTAAATTTTTACAAAGCAACAGTTTTTACAGTGTTGTTTTCTATAACAAACTAGATAAAACGTTAAAGGTGGGGTAGGTAATTTTGGAGAAACCAGCTCGAGTGCGCTAGAATTTGAAAATACACAGCCGGAAAAAATCTGCCACTTCCTTACAGAGCCCTTCCTCCAACACACACGAACGCGCACATGACCAATGAGGGAACGAGATAAGTTTGTGCACAGATGGAAGGCTGACAGGCAGGTAGGCCATCCAGTTATTTTAGCCGGGCCGGCTAAAATGATTGGTCGTGCTTTTTACAGTACTACGGCTTCCACAGATGACATTTTTTTATGGATTTTTTGTCAAAGCACTTAAGATATTCATTGCTATCGGGATGTTAAGAGCATTCCATGGAATATAACAAAAAGTGTATCTCGAGCCGGTTTCTCAAACTTACCTACCCCACCTTTAAGTGGGTATGACACATTAATAGGTTTTTAAATGTTAAGAAGCCCTGAGACGCTGTTTCTTGCAGATGTTGCGTTTTTGCCCCCTATGAATGTTGTGCAACAATGCTAATCAAGCCAGACAGATTTTTTGTCATGTGTGAACTGTCATAAGACTTATTCATTGTCCTCAGCTTCTGTTTTATGTGTTCAGCTGAGCTGCTGATTGGAGGCTCTGCCTCTCCGTTATCCTCAGTTTGAATTTCATTAAGCTGTGAGGACTGACGACCAACACACTTGTGTTTTTTTAAATGACTATGACATTTAAATATTTTGTCACAAACATTGCAGCTGTATATTTCCCCTCCTGTGTGGACTCTCATGTGTGTCTTTAAATTTCTATTCAGTGCATAAGCTTTCTTACAGACTGAGCATCTGTATGGTTTCTCTCCTGTGTGGATTCTCATGTGCTCCTTTAAACCTCCACTCCGTGAAAAAGGTTTCTTACAGACTGAGCATCTGTATGGTTTCTCTCCTGTGTGGATTCTTATGTGTTTTTTAAAACTGTCACTAAATGCAAAAGATTTGGTACAGAATGAGCAGCTAAAGGGTTTCTCTCCTGTGTGGATTTTCGTGTGTTCCTTTAAACTTCCACTCTGTGAAAAAGATTTCTTACAGAGTGCGCATCTGTATGGTTTCTCTCCTGTGTGGATTCTCATGTGTTTTTTTAAACTTTGACTCAATGCAAAAGATTTGGTACAAACTGAGCAGCTAAAGGGTTTCTCTCCTGTGTGGATTCTCATGTGTCGCTGAATATTTCTTGCATATGTAAAAGATTTCGTACACACAGAGCAGTCAAATTGTTTCTTTACAGCACTACGGCTTGAATCACTGACAGATTCATGTCTATTTTTCAGTGAGTTTGAGCCTGACGCAGGTTTTTTGGTCTCCTTCCAATCAGCACTGTGTTTAGTGTCAGGTTCAGAACAGTCTCCAATGTCATCCTCAGTCTTTGGTTGTAAACTGCTCTCTGGATCCGAGTTCCTGGCTGGTTCTGGTCCTCGACAGTCATCTCCATCAGCTTCTGTTTCCATGTGTTCAGTTTGTCTTTGAAGAGGCTGTGAGGACCGAGGTTTCTCTTTATCATCTTCACTCTTCACAGGGTCAGGAGTGAAAGTGGACTTGGTGATATCAGCCTCCTCCAGCTCCAGAAGCTGCTCTCCCTCCTGAAAGATCCTGAGTTCCTCCTGTTCCTGCTTAATGTGTGGGGGGGGCTCTGGGTCCTCCTGGTCCAGACTGGTGATCCACTCCTGCTGGTCAGGGATAACCTCTTCTTTAACCACCACCAGCTGCTGGACATCTGCAGGAAACAGGAAACACACAGTCAGACAAAACTGTTAAGTGTTAACATTTAAAAATCTAATCACCATTCAAATGGGAGACATTTTGCAACCTTAATTAATGCCTTTGTTTTTATACTTTCATATTATCTTTCTTAGTCCCACCTATTGTGTATTTTTGTTGGCTCAAAACACCTTATGTAGCCCAACCCCGTTCCACTTCCAGTTAAAAATGAAAAAGGTTGTTTTCTTCTGGTTTAGCACTAGCTGCAATGTAAACAATGAATTGTATTTGGGATCGTTCACAGATACACTGCGCCTATAGAATGGTAATACTACAAATATATTTTAGGGCCATACCTATACAAAACATGTCTGTGATTTTTTTTGCCAAACAGATCACCCATTGTAGCCATGCCTCATACTGCTCATACCCCTCTATTCCAGCCCTGTTCCAAAAAGGCTGATTCTGTGACCGTAGCTTTAAAACAGCTGCTGCTAGCCACGCCCCTGTGTAGCGTCACGCAGCTTTCCCCTGCTAAGAGAGTTTTCTACCGGGAGAAACTCAGCTAAACGCTGTCGTGATTAAATGCCATATTATGCTCCAAACCACTTCAAGCATTATTTCTGAAACAGTATGGAGCTCAAAACTTTCTCTCTCGCAGGGTTTACACAAGGACATTACGTTACACATATTCTCTCCATTACAGCATTAGCTCTGAGTGTTAGCGATGCTTGCTAATGTAAACACAGACCATATTACTCCCAAAACACGCCGCGCATTGTTTCTGATCCAGCACATAGCTTGACATGTTGTTTCTTAAGTGTTTACTGCTAGAACAGTGCCATTATATGTATTATATATAACAACTTTACTCTTAGTGCCTCCTGCAGACATCCTGCTGAATACACAGACACACAGCTGCGAGAGGGGATTCAGCTAGACGACTGTATACGGGGGACGGACACGGTTGGGACGTGTCACGTGTGCTGGAGACGATAGGTTGGGACGTGTCACGTGTGCCACATTTCACCAATGACGTCACAGGAGCCAAATCCTGGATCTGCTCATTTGCACCCCGCATTTCTTTTCTTTTTTGAGATGTGGGTAAGGACGAAAAGAGAGAGGGTTGGATTTTCTGAAATGTTGCGAGTCTTCTTACACACCGGGGACACATATTTATTTATGTATAAAATACATCAAAAAGTGCATTTTGCATACTAGGTCCCCTTTAATTAAAAGTATGCAAGTATTTGTTTAAAATAAAAGTGCGCAATACACTACTTTTGAATTCATTATTTAATTGTGTGCATGACAATGCAATTAATCGCAGAAAATCATTTGATTAATCATGATTAAAATGTGTAATCGTTGCCCAGCACTAATAAATTGTCAGAAGTGTTACCAAAGACTTTAACGTGTTACCAAAGAGTTTAAAGCAGGGGGGTCCAAACTTTTTTTCACAGAGGGCCACATACAGAAAAATATACGAAGGGCTGGGCCACTCATAAAGGTAGGGATGGGTACCGAGCCTCGGTATTAAACGGGCCCCCGGGGCTGAATTATTAAAGACTGTGGTACTGTTAACCTGTTAAGCCCGAGAGACCCCGGTACCGGGGCACTGCCGCAATATCTTGCAGGAAACAGTGTGTGAGGGCATGTTCATTTAATAAACTATGAATGTTTTATATCCATGTAACGGGAAGAAACTCATCTAACTGATCATTTTTTTTTTTTTTTCAAAAGAAAACCCACAATGTTCACACTGAGCCTCTGAATTAGCAACGAGCAAAAAATGCTAACAGATGACTGCACCGAAAATCACTCACAAAACCTTATTATGTATCTCTTCTCCACATCCATGACATCGATTCACATCGTGAGGTGACACAGAATCTATGGGTACCCTCATTATCACTGAATTATATGAATTTGCGACGTTATAAACAAAAACAGACATCAAAACAGGTGACGCTAGGTAGCTAAAAATGCTAACATTTTTACCTTGGCTCTGTAGTCTCTCCAAAGTGGTCTTCAATGGCATTAAAACGATAAAAACGCTGAAGTTAATCCATAGGTTAATCCAATGTGTCTGTGTCCCTTTGAAATGATTTCTGATAATCCATGAGCAAACAGACGGATAATCCATGCTTTTACGTTTCTAGATGTCACAGCTAGACTGTAGCTTCACTCTAATGCAAAACTGCATGCGCGAAGCCCCCACCTTTTCTTTTCACAATGAGTGTGTGTGGGGGACTCCCCCTTCGATTCTATTGGCTCTTACGGTCAGAAAGAGGTGTCAACCATCAAAATCGAGCAAGGGGGGCCAGAGATATGGAACATCTACCCAAGTGACCCCAGAAGTGGTTTCTTTGAGCTAAATCTCTCTAAAAAGGTCAAATGTCAATCTTGATACAGGGTACTTATTATATGTTGTACTTTGGATTCCTAAAGCTTTTAGTCTACCTTACCATCATCCAAGGGTAGTTTTCACTATAAGTAAAAAAGAATTTTTGGACGGACACTATAATTACAGTTTTTTACTATGTAAAATCTGAGTTTTCTTTAAAATAAAAAACATCTATATTGATTCTGACTTTTCTACATCCAACTCACAGGTTTATCATTACTTTGAGAAAAAAGATTATTAATTTAACCCTTTTAGAAGGGAAGATATGGTCATTTGTTCTGGGAATGTCATTTTCGAGCCTGAGACCTGAAAAACAGGCTCAGGGCTTAACAGGTTAAGCTCCGACGTTATCGGTCTTTTTATCGGTACTGGAGACATGTAAAAAAGATATGTCATATGTATTATTGCTACACAAACATTATATTGCAGTTTTAGTGTCGCCAACTCTAATACGCAAAAAGCGTGCAAAATGCGTCTTTTTAGTATTTTGGATGGTTCCAATCCAGACGAGAGATCTCTCTCCCCCGCCTGCTTGCGAGGGGGCGGGGCAGTTTACACACGCAGCTGCTACATGCAGCAACACACACACACGGAGGAGATGGCGGAGATAACGCGCTCCGAGGTGTGGTTAAACTTTACCCGTCTTGAGGTGGACAATGCTTGTTACCAAAAGTGCAATAAGAGTTTAGCATGTAAGGGCGGTAACACGAGCAATTTGTCTAAACATTTTTTTAATTTATTTTAAAAGTGGGCTTATTAACACATCAATGCTACTGTGTAATATATTTGTAGATACATATTTAAGAAGTACAACATAAGAAAAGCACAAGTTTCATTTGTGGGCCATATTTCATTATACTTTTTGAATTGGCTGAGGGCCAATTCAAAATGGCCAGCGGGCCGCATTTGGCCCCCGGGCCGTACTTTAGAAACCCCTGGTTTAAAGTGTTAATTAAGAGTAAAGGGAACAGACCTGCTCTGTGTATCCGAAGCTGAGGCTGTAAAACAGCGTCCAGTAGTTTCTGGAGTCTCTCGTTCTCCTCTTTTGAACGAGACAGCTCCTCCTCGTGCTCTGCTATAGTCTTTTCAAACAGAGCAAATATATCTTCAACAGCAGCAGTGAGTCGCTGCTTCTTCAACGACAGCAGCATTTGGACTTTACTCATGTTTACTAGATCACCTTTTCCTGCAAACTCCGTTAAACACTGACTAGTGATGCTAACGTGTTTCCAGCTAGCATGCTAAACTAGCTCCTATAGTCCGAGTTCAACGCTCCAGAAAAAAGAGCACACAGTCCATTCAGAGGTTTATCCAGAAACACAGATGATGGATCCGTAGTGCTGAAGCTCACACACACTTTATCGGGAACACAGAGAGAGAGAACCGTAGCGACGAGACAACACCTCAATCCAGGTTCTTCTTCTTCTTCTTCTTCTTCTTCTTCTCTTTTTAATGGCGGATCGCAAACAGCTTTTGGTTGCATACCGCCACCTACTGTACACGAGTGTGTATCATCATGTCATCCCTCTAATAAACCAGCATATCGAAAACATAAAACTAAGAAACCATAAAATAAATTAAAAATTAAAAAAAAAAAAAAAAATCATCCATGATCTATTCTAACCTACTGTTAGATTATTCTCCCTATCCCAGTTTCCCTCAAAAAGGTGAACAGTGCCTTTCTGGTAGCTCTTATTCCTTCTCCTTCTGTTCCCAGAATACCAGCTACACTCCAGTCCCTCTCTGCCTCTAAAACTGTATCCCTTAATTTTCCTCTTTCAACTCTATAGGTGACACAATGTAATAAAATATGTTCCACATTTTCCCTAACTCCACAGTTCCCACACTTGTCACTGTCACTTTTCCCCATGACATACAGCTTACCATTCAATGCAGTGTGATTTAGTCTGAGTTCATGATTTCCTCCCTTCTATTTCTTTCTTTATAAATATTAATTGTAATTGTCTTTTGCACTTGATGATACTCTTTGCTTTTCTGGTCTTTCTCCCACCTTTTCTTTTTTGGATTTTGTTTCCAAATGTTTAATATGAGTTTTCCATGTACATTTACTATCTAACCGCCCCAGATATTTAAATTCATTGACCTCATTCATCGGCTTTCCATATAATGTAAGCTTCTCAGTCTCCATCTTACGCTTATTCGTACATTTCATGAAGCAAGATTTGCTTGCTGACAGCTTGAAACCCCAGTTGTATGACCACTTCTCCACTTTCTTTATAGCTTTCCCTATCTTTTCAAACACATATGGAACATTTCTTCCCCGTATCCATATGGCCCCGTCATCTGCATATAGCGCAGATTTTATGCATCCATCCGAATTACTAAAAATATCATTTATCATAACGTTAAATAATATCGGGCTGATTGAACTCCCTTGAGGAATACCATTTTCTATACTGCACTCTTTTGAAACCTCTGCCCCTACTTTAACTCTGAATTTCCTGTCTGATAAAAAAGCCATGATCCAGTTATACATTCTCCCTCCAACACCCATTCTACTCAATTTGATGAGCAACCCATCCCTCCACATAGAGTCATACGCCTTTTCAATATCAAAATATACTATTGCCATAACCTCTTTCATTTTCATT